CACATCTTGTTCAATAAGAAGTTCGATTCTGCCGAAATAGTAATTGACTGGTCCTGACGATCCAGTAAGCTATAAGGCAATTTCACTACTTGAAACTTTTGGGGAAATTTTTACATCAATTCATAAAATGTACGTTTAACTTTTTTGGGCAGATAAAAATAAATAAACGAAGAACAGGCTGGTTTTCGTCATGGACAACATTCGACAACATATTTATCCTTCAGGCAATTGTTCAAAAATATATAACCAAGAAACGGGGACAGTTATACTGCGCCTTCTTGTATTTCTCCAATCATTTGATAATGTGGAGAGACAACGTCTTTGGTATGTCCTACTAAAAGAGTGAGTAAATGGAAAGATGTTTGAGATATTACATAATATCTATATATGCAAATGTAAAATCTTGTGTCAAAACTTTAAACGGATATACTGAATACTTCCAGTGTCCTATGGGTGTTCGCCAGCGTTGTATGTTAAGTCCATTCATATTCTCCTTCTTTATTAAAGAATTATGTAAAGAGCTGAATAATTCGGAACACCACGGCGTTCAACTGTCTTCTGATTTAATCGAATTATTCCGTCTTCTATTTGCTGATGACGTTCCAATTCAGTTGTCGGGCTCCAGAGATTACTTGATAAACTAGAATTGTATTGTGAGCGCGCGAGTATGTCTGTAAACTTGGACAAGACCAAAATTATTGTTTTCAAGGGTAGGGAACGTTTATCAAAGAACGAAAAGTGGATTTATGAAGGGATGGCGGTTCACACAGTTTTATACTACAAATATCTAGGTATTATGTTCTTCTGTAGACTCCACTAGTCAATGGCGACACAGTTATTGGCGCAGCAAGCGAAAAAAACAAAACTTTTTCTGTTAATTTAAAGCTTTGAACTGTTTACGCCCTCTATCCTACATAACCTACTTCCAATATTTACGTATGGGGCGGAAATCTGGGGCTTTGGAGAGTGTAAACATCTGGAACGAGTTCATTATCTTGCCTGTAGAGTGTTTCTAATATTATATCACCCAATAGTAGTATTCTAGAAGAATGTGGGGTATATCCTATCTATCTATACTCAGCAAAACGATGCATTAAATATTGTGCAAAATTAATTTCCATGCCAAATTCAAGGTACCCCAAGAAATGTTACAATATGCTATACAATATCGAAAGTTCGGGAACCAGAACAAAACACACCTGGATCAATGACATCCAAAATTTACTTTCAATTTGTAATATGAATTATGCTTGGCTCGCATAAAAAGTTGGAAATGTTAATGTGTTTATAAATACATTTGTGGAACGATTCAAACAGAATCTTTCCTAGGTATGGCGGGCTGACTTGTGTACTTTAGACAATGTTAGATAATTACTGTCAATTTAAAACTAGCATAGAACCAGAAAGATATTTGTTTTCTGTTCATATTCAAACCCATATGCAATCACTATCTCGGCTACGATGTTCATCACATTGTTTACGAATTGAAAAAGACAGAGGTCACCCAGAAAGAGATCAACGCATGTGCGAGCTTTGCAATATGAATTCTATTAAAAATGAGTTCCATTTTTTATTAGTTTGTAAGTTTTATAATCACATTACTACTGCACCCCACCAACTGTAAATAAGTTTCTTGAATTATTCAAAATGATGTACTTCTACATTGCTTAGCTGCGTTTGTATTTAATGCTATGAAACGTAGGAAGGAAGCCGCCGAATATTGTGAATAATTTAATTGTTTACTGTTTTGAGCCGATGGCCATGTATCAGTTAATAAAGATCATATAGTAGTATTTCAATGAACGTAAATTGAAACAGTTATGATCACTTACATAACGTAATTTACGTTACGCAAAATTGCATTTACAACACACCAATCTATGAACCTCTGCATATTTCAGTTTTGTGTTCCACGTACCATCAAGACCGACTCCACGGTGCAATTATAAAATTTATCCGCCTTTATTTCTAATTAACGTTAACATTACACAAGCAAATTTATATTTTTAAATTTGAGAATAGGTGAGTTTACAAAAGTAGACCTATATGCAAAAAACATGGACCATATATGTAGTTGTTTTCTAGCTGAGCTCTCAATCATTTAAGTTTCACACAATTAGATTTAATATTCTGCAATTCTTGAATTACAGAAACTGCTTCTCGATATTGGGACATGCAGTTTCTGTGATTTTTTTACAGAGTGTGAGCTCTATACATTTATTTATTTCTACAGAGCTGAAAGCAAAGAATACACGAACATTGACGAGAAAATTCTTTACTATGGCACTTAAGATTACGAATAACGATTACATGACACGGGTGCGTTATTCTCGGCTACAATACGAGTTTCAGTTTTGGTTAAGTGAGAGCATCTAATTCGGCTATATATCTGTTTTGGCTGGAATACCAATTTCCCCTGGAATATTTGTTCATCAAGAAGAGACTGCATGCATGATATAAAATTACACAATTGTTTGGCTCATGGTTCTGTGCTAATTTTTAACAAGCAGCCTATCGGCTGAGATAGCTCCGCTGTTAGCAATGCACATTTCAATTAAAGAACTGAAGACATCATTAGAAAATAAACAATATGTATAGTATCAAAGCAATCGGACTTAGTTTTTAACAAGAAGTCGAAAATATCACTTTTTACCAAAAATGACAAAAATATTCACCAAAATTAGAGAATTGAAGATATCATCACAAAATGAACAAATCCGAGCGAGGTCCACATGTAGTACCTATATATGTAATATCAAAGCAATCAGACTATTGGTTTTTTACAAGAAGTCGAAAATATCA